GCCTGCCGTGCCCGCCTGGTTTCAGAAGCCCGCGTGAACTGTTCCGTGTACCCGCTGCTGCTGGAGGACTCGCCCTCCTGCCCCAACCTCTATGCCAACTGGCTGGTCATCCTCCTGCTGGTCACTTTCCTGCTGGTCACCAATGTACTGCTCATGAACCTGCTCATCGCCATGTTCAGGTGCCCTGCCCTGCCCCCTTTGCTCTGTCCACATGTGGGTGCCCCTGGTGACCCCAGTTCCCAGCCTCCTCAGTCCCAGCTGGCCCAGCTGGCTCTGGCCCAGGCCTGCCCGGCCCTCCAGACCTAGGGCCACAGTTGGGGCTGGGGCCTGTGATGGGAGAGGCCTGGATGTGGAGTGTCACCCCAAACCCTGGCTCCACTTCCGGCTGGGCCTGGAGTGCAGGCAGAGGGAGGGCAGGGCACCTAGGAGGTGGAGGAGTACATGGCAGGTGCAGAATGGGAGGCCTTGCTTTCCCAAGTCCCCTGCCCCAGGGGCCACGCCCCACTCCCAGGGAGCGGTTCCTGAGTCTGAAAGCTGGGGCCTGGGTGGTGTGTCCAGAAGCCTGGACTTGTCCAGCAAAGCAAAGGGGGCAGTGGAAGACCCCGGATGAGCCAACCCTACTCTAGACCCACCCCACAGAGAGAAATTAGTGTTTTGAGGCAATCACAGTAGAAGGGGCAGGGCCTCTGTTTCTGAAGTCTCCCCAGGGCTCCGGAAACGGCTCTGGGCCGCACACAGGGCGTGGGAGGAGCTGTGAGCCCTGTGTGCCCACCGCCACCCACACCCGTCCCCACAGCTACACGTTCCAGGTCGTGCAGGGCAACGCCGACATGTTCTGGAAGTTCCAGCGCTACCATCTCATCGTGGAGTACCATGAACGTCCTGCCCTGGCGCCGCCCTTTATCCTCCTCAGCCACCTGAGCTTGGTGCTCAAGAGGGCCTTCCAGAAGGATAAGCAGAAGAGGGCACGCCTGGGTGAGGCCATGGGGCTGGACGCGGTGGCCCGGCTGCCCTGACTGTGCTGAGGGGCGAGGAGCAGGGGCTGGGCCTGGGGGAGGGGCAACGCGGCCTGGTGGGCAGGCGGGGAGAGGCCTGGGCCCCTCCTCAGCCTCCGGGGACCCTTGGCCTGAGTCTGTCCAAGCCCCAGAGCAGCTAGCATGGGGCTGAGCCTAGAGGTCGCTGAAGCGGGGCCCATCTCTGCCCCTCCGCCTCATGCCCTGGCCGCATCTGCAGTGACCGGCAGGGCTGTGGGACAAGGCTCTCTGGGCTTGCCCCGGGCTTCCCCGCCCCAGCTGAGGCCCAGCTGGCTCTAGCTAAGCCTGAGGCTGCCCGGCCGTTTCAGAGAGAGACCTGCCAGAGGCCCTGGACCAGAAGATGGTCACCTGGGAGGCTGTTCAGAAGGAGAACTTCCTGAGCAAGCTGGAGAAGCAGAGGAAGGACAGCGAGCAGGAGGTGCTGAGGAAAACCGCCCACAGGTGCGCAGGGGCTGGATGGGGGGCCCTCTGCCCCGGCCCCCAGGGCTGCCCGGAATGTAGAAACGGCCCCTCCCTGGAGGCAGACTGCTGAGTACCCCGCAGGGTGCCGAGCGGGGCCAGCAGAGGGGGTGAGGCGCCTGCCTTGGAAGGCCCGACCCCGGCTCGGGGGCTGGGGGTTTAAGATCTCCTCTGGGACCCCTACCATTATCACTGTTGGTGTCAGGCTGCCTTAAGGCTGGGGTGTGTCCCTCTCACGCCAGTCACAGGACCTGAGCTGGGGAAACAGGCTGAAGGGTGCAGGGACATGGCCAGGTCTGAGGTCCAGCACTTGGCCTCCTGACCCTGGACAGGGCTCTGCTGAGGCCTTGCTTGCCCTGCATTTGGGGAACAGGGGCCAACATGTGTGGCATCCTCCCTGCTCTGAGATCTTCCCATGGTTCTTGCCTGCCTGTGGGGGGCATGGTCCTGCCCTTTGCTCTCCTGTTGCTGGAGGAGACCCAGCCCCCATCACACATGGGGAGGGTGCAGAAGCCCTCTGTACCCAAATCCTAGGGTGAGGAGGCCAGAACACCCCAGACTCAGGCACCCAGAGAGGCTCAGTGACCCTAAACCCACCTCAAGGGCCTGGGTGACAGGGAACGGGGGAGGACGGGAAGGCTCCCCAAATTGGGAGCACCCTGTCGCCATCAGAGACTGCTGTCACCTGCTTCCGCCACAGGGTGGACTTCGTTGCCAAGTACCTCGGGGGGCTGCGAGAGCAAGAGAAGCGGATCAAGTGTCTGGAATCGCAGGTAGGTGGGCAAACTGAGTGTTTGTGCTGCTCGGGCCCAGCAGGCAGGCAGCAGGCCCTCGCTCACGGTCCCGCACCCACCATCCAAACTCAGGGGCTGCACCAGGCTAGGGCTCAGCAGTCAGGGCAAGGCGGGGGGCGCCCTGGCGGTTTAGGACTTGTACCTGCCCCACCCCCAAGTCACTGGAGAGTCCCTGCGCCCTCCCTGAGGGGGTTCTAGATACAGGGCACCCTCCCCAGGAAGTTCTAAAGACTGGGCACTCTCCAGGGGGCTGTAGACACACTGGGCACCCTCCCCAAGGGGGTTCTAGAGATGGACACCTCTCCAGGAAACTCTAGAGACACTGGACACCCTCTTCATGCGACTCTAGAGACAATGGACACCCTCTCCATGCGACTCTAGACACTGGGCACCCCCTCCAGGCGACTCTAGAGACACTGGGCACCCCCTCCAGGCGACTCTAGAGACACTGGGCACCCTCTCCAGGCGACTCTAGAGACACTGGGCACCCTCCTCAGGAGGTTCTAGAGACTGGGTGCCCTCCCTGTAGGGTCCTACGTTTTTAGACTCCTCACCGTTCACTCTCCATATGCCACGCTGGCCCTCCCGCCCCCTCCTTCGAGTTGCAGCCACCAGAGGGAAGGTCACAGGGAGCAGGGCTCCGGCAGGAGGGGAGGCGGGTGGCAAGGGTGCCTCTGCGCCCTGCTGTCCTCAGAGCTCCAGGGCTTGGCCCTGGGCCTCCCTCTTGCTCTTGCAGATCAACTACTGCACAGTGCTCCTGTCGTCCATGGCCAACACACTGGCCCAGGGCAGCACCTCCTGGAGTAAGTGCGTGTCTGGGGAGGGCGGGCAACTCTCCAGCTGGCTGGTCTGGAGGCAGGCGGAAGGCCGTTGGCCTGTGCTGTGTCCACTGTCTTCCCTTGGGTCTCTGCTTCCCCCTCAGCCTGGGAGGGGACTAGCCCAGGTCTCTGATGAAGCCCACTGACTCAGCCAGGGTGTGAGGGCGTGGCCACTCTGGCTCCAGAAGCTCTGCCAGGTGCCAGCCCTACTGGGCTGCTTTCCCAGCCCTCCTCACCGAGGGCCACCATGCCCCATGCTTGCCTCTTAGTGGGCCACCTCTCCCTCCCCTGGGCCTGCCCAGCAGCTGAGAAAGGGCCTTCCTTCCCCACCAGCCTCTCTGAACTTCGGCAGTGGGAACCAGCAGCCCTCTGCTGACCATGGAAGGGGCCCGGGCAGCAGGGAGCAACCGGAGGCTGGCCAGCCACCCTCAGACACCTGAACCACTTGGACTGTCCACGCAAGGGGCCCATCCCTCCCAGAGTCTCAGACCCCAGCGTGGGCAGGCAAGGGCCTGGACCTGAGCTGGTCACCGTGGGCCCTGTGGACGCGCCAACCTTCCCCCAGCTCCGCTGGAGTCTCCCAGTGGGATGTGGCTCTCAAAAGGAACCACTCCTTGCCCTACCTGGCACGTTCCCGGGACCCCCACTGGCCTAGGACTGCAGCGGTGCATCATGAGCCCTCTCGTCGACAGGCAGAGCCCCCGGGTTCCCAGCCGGAACCAAACAGCTGGGCCAGGACAGCAAGCACTCACTGAGCACCTTGTTGGAGACACCTCCTGCCCGGTGGGCAACTGCCCACACTGTCCCCTGCCCAACCTGTGCTGCCTGCTAAGAGACTGATCTTTTCCGAAACCACAGCGGTTAGAATTTCTGTCCTTTAAGACCCAGCGCTGACGTTCACTGTGTGTGTCGGCTCGCACTCTGGCACACCCAAGAGCTTGCACAGTGAGTGCTGGACTCGGTCCAGCCTGGGCAGTGGCCAGGGGATGCTGCCCCAAGAGGACCTGCTTCCACCCCCGAGAGCTGCTTTATCTTAAAGGGAGCCCAGAGAACACACCCACACCTTGGGCTGCAGCCCCAGATCACAGTGGACACCGGGGACGGCTGGAGGCATTCAGGTCACTGTCAGCAAAGCACATGGGACGGGGACAGAGGGCTTACCTTCCCGAGGGGCTGGGGTCTGGGCTCCTGGGCGGCCCCCAGCTAGGCCGAGTGGCCAACCAGATTGATCCCTCCTTCCCTTGGGGGCCTGGCGCCCTGGCACAGAGACAGTGAGGGCAGCAAGGGCAGGGCCAGGGCCAGGCCCAGGAACTCAGCAGCACGGCGGCCTGGCCGCCCAAGCCCTGCCACCAGTCCCAGGAGAGCCCTGCCCACTCCCGTCCACCTTCCCTGGCACCCTCGGGGGACCCTCTTCCCCCCGCACGCAGTAGCTCAGCAGTCCTGGCGACGCAGCCCCAGGACACTGGTCATCTTCACACACGGCCTGGGAGGGCAGAGCTGAGGGGCGAGTTTGGCCAGGGCTGGGGAGGGCGCCCGCCCACCCGCCCCCTCTCACACTCTGGCTCCTTGGACCCATTTCATTAACCCCCTTGCCCCCAGCCTTGTGGTGTGCAGACCCACTGGGGGCAGAGGCTGCAGCTGTAAGCCCACTCCCCCGAAGAACCCAGGGTCTCCACCTCTTGCTCTGGACTGAGAAGGGGTCACCCCACTCCCTTCAAGAACATCTGCTGCCGATGAACACAAGCATCGATTTAAAACCTGAGCCCCCTGACACCGTAGGGGAGGCTCAAATGTGGGAACAGGGCGATTGGGTGGACTGGAGAACAGAGAAGGCCCAGCCACACCAGTCCTGGCAGCTGGGGGGGTATACACAGACACACGAAGCCTGAGACATACCCAAAACCTTTACTGTCCCCCACTGACACCGGATGGGCCAGGGCTTCCACCGTCCTCTGGCCCACATCCTCAGCAAGGTCTCTGCTTAAGAAGAGACCAGAGCACCAAGACCCAGCCAGGGCCACTGGCGCCACCTGCAGGCAGCCCGTCAGCTCCCTTCCCAAACGAGTGGGGACGGGGCCCGCGGCACCTGCCCCTAAAGCCACCCTATGTGGGCAGTGGCCCCGGGCAGCCCCTCCGACACCAGCCCACGGGCAGCCTGGTTGGGGAAGGCTGGCTGGGCAGTCTCTCCTCTCAGACCTCAGCACCCGAGGCCTCGGGGCTGCTGCCCTTGTTCCGGAAGTGGTCTCTACTCCGCTTCCTGCTGCCGTGGAAGCCAACAGTCTCCACCACTGGGGACCCTGCTGCTGACCCGGTGTGGGCGGCCCCCTCTGGCGTGTCCACCTCCTGCAGGACCCCACAGGGGCTGCTCCACTCCTCAGCCTCCGGGCTCCCAGGCCCAGCCAGGTGGGCCAGCTCCACAGGACCCTCACCCCCCACCACTGCTGGGTTCCCAGGGGCGCCCCTGCCCGGCTCTCCCGCCTTTCTCAGGACCCTCTTCCTTTCAGGTCTGGCCTCGCCAGCTCGGGCCGGTTTGGTGAAGATGACTCTTCCCTCCCCGCAGCTGGAGGGATCCTGGTTGAAGGAGGGCACGTAGTTGCTGGGGGCAGCCAAGCTCTGGGAGCCCAGGAAGGCTATGGCGGCGGCCTGGTTGCTCTGCTCGCTGGCCTCGGCCACGTCTTCCAGGCTGTACTTGGTCCAACGCTCGGGATGGGCCACGTAGTCAGGGACAGGCCTGCCTGGGCCCTCTGCTGGAGGCTGGCTTGAGGGCAGCCGGGGCCGCTTGAAGCCCCCATTGTCACCCATGCCAGTTTGGGGCACAGAGGGCAGAGCCCGCCTGGCTGCCCCCTCCAGGCAGTCGAAGATGTTGTGGCTGCGCTGAGAGAAGGTGGTGCTCGTGCCTCTCAGGTGGAACGGCTGCACCTCAACTGTGGGGAAGTCCCTGGGGGGTGAGGGGGACTCATCGGGGTCTGAATCCCCCTGGGCCTCCCCAGGAAGCCCGTCTGGGGACAGAACTTCCACATCAGCACCGCTCGGTAGGCTGACGTCGGAGTCTGAGTTGCTAAGGGAGACGGTGTCGGAAGGCAGGGTGTCATACTCTGTCCCCTGCTCGACGTCCAAGCCAAGAGAGGCCTCGCCTGCCTCTGCCTCAGCCATGTGTCCCAAGGCCACGCCACACCTAGACCAAAACAGCCCAGCACACAGTTTCTGAGAACAGCATGCATTTAGAACAAACTCCTCCTGCAGACCTACTGCCCCCAGCAGGCAGCAGGATCAGCAGAAAGAACTGTGTCCTACAAAGGAAGGGACAGTCCCTCCCCACTCCCCAAGAGCCCTCCTCACCTCCCTTGTCTTCTGGGTGCCTGTGCTGACACTGGAGTGCTGGTGGGAGGAGCGCTGGCAAAGGTCCGTGGCGGCAAAGGCGTGGTGGCCTCAGTCCCAGAAGTCCCCCGGCACAGCTCTGTTCAGCTGTGGCTCAACTGTAGGCGGCTGAGACTGGGGAAAGAAAGCCAGCCATCAGACCACAGTGAGCGTGCAGAAGTGGTGCCACAACCCCGGGAGTGGACCCGGGTTTCCGGAGCCCCCACACAGGCCAGGTCCAGGAGCAGGCCCTCTGTCATGTCACCTCATTCAATTCTCTCAAGCTAAGCCTAACTTGACGACTCGGGGCCTGCTGGGGCACGGGGAATTCTAGTACCAGGCGGCCAGCCAGGGCTTGAACCCCGAGATGAGAGCAGCCTCTGCTTGACACTACCACTCTTGACCAAGGAGGGTCGTTCATAAACTGCTCAGCACACCGCGAGGCACCCAGGAAGTACTCCACCAAGACTGGAGCACTTTGCCCCGTCTGTGGGGAGCAAGTTTGCTCCTGATTGCTGGAGTTGCTCTGAGAGCTCAGAGGGGTCTGCAGCCAGGTCCTGGGCACCTGAGGGTCAAAGCTCTCAGGGAACTGGGTGTCAGTGATCACCTGGAGCAGCCTCGCTGGGCAGAGGCAAGCCCCCGCGGCCCCTAGAGCATTTCTCCTCTAACTCGCTACACACCCCCACCTTCCCCAGCTGAGCAGAGAACTGCTGCGGACACTCGAGTGTCCGAGTGTGACCAGGCACCCGCAGCTTTGTTTCCAAGTTCAGAGGCAGCCCAGCCTCATCCATCCGTCCACCAACTCCCCTTCCCCGGAGAAGCCTCCCTAGCCCAGGGTGACCCATTGCTCCTGCTCCCACCGAAGACCTGGCCAGGCGGAGCAGGAGCGGCCCCGAGAGCCCCGCACCAGGTCAGACACGGGCGAGATCTCCATTCCTCTGCGGCATGACTCCCAAACGAGGGAACGACTAAAAGAGAGAACGAGAAGAGGAGCACACCCCACCGGGGGGTTCCAGAGCAGGCAGGGCCGGGGGGACAGATAATCTGCCCGTCACACAGCACGTCGCACGCACGGCTGGAGTTCCGAGCAGACCCCGGCTCCCCAAATCCGCACTCCCGTCCCCTGCACCGCCGGGGACGCCGCCGCGCCTACGACAAGACGCCTGACCAGCGGGGCGCTCGGGGCAGACGGGAGCCTGTCTCTGGGAGCTCTCTGGGAACTGCGGGAGCTCAGAGAAGGCAGAGCCGAGTCCGGGCTGAGGGGTCGGGGGTCCCCGGGAGCGGGACCACTGGCCTCCTTGCCGGTTCTCTCCCCGTCGGAGGCAGAGCCGTGACTTCCTGCACTCGCGCCCAGCAGGCTCTCGTGCCGAGGCCTGGGTCTTGGGGACCAAGTCGGGCTGGGTGAGGAAGTGTCCGGGCCTCACGAGGCACGGGGGCCCGACGGCCAGGCCGCGAGACATGAGGAACAAAGAGCACGTTGGGGTCTCAGGGCTCGGGGCAGCAGCCTGCTGACGGCGACCTGCCAGAGACCCAATCGGCCTGCGCCGCCGTCCTACCTCACCACAAACCTACCAGCTCACGGTGGCCCGCCGGCCATCTCCATCTTGCACCGCCTCCATCCTGAGCCGCGCTCGGATCTCTGGGAAACCGAGTCCTCCGCCGGCCGAGCGCCAAGGCTTCCGCGCCTGAAGAACTACATCTCCCATAAGGCACTGGGCCGCTACTCCCGAGGCCTGTCGGGACTTGTAGTCCTTGCGCATGCGCCCTCCCTTCTCTCCCTGACCTCCCCTCCCCGGAAATGTCGGAACTCCTTCCCCAAGAGGCCGGAATTGATTAGGGAGAGGAGGGAAGGGAGGAGGAGGGACTGCGACTCCCAGAATGCTCGAGGGCTAGCTGCTGGCGCCGGTTTCCTTGGGCCTCAGCGCCACCTGCCGGAAGGCCCGAGAACAGTAGTCCCTCAGGCCGGAAGTGCATCATCACGCGCAGCGTTTTTCCCGGGCACTTCCGGTCCTGGCCGGAAGCGGCTGATCACGCTCGTCGTAGGTCTTAGGAGCAGGCCGCGCCTCAGGTAGAGTGCTCGTCGCGGCCGCCGAGTGGGTCATGGTCGGGCTAGCCTGCTTGCCCATGGCTGATGGTCCAGCTGGTCTCTTCCGCCCGGGAGCGGAGGACAGGCCCCGGCTTCCTGGACAGGCGCTTGTCCCTCGTCCCCGGACCCAGCGGCCGCCACCCGCCCCTTCCCCACTGGCCCGCGCCGTGCCCGAGTCCAGGCGCCTCGGCTCCCGCCTGCTGGACGGCCGGACCTCGGCCTCTCCCAGGGCTGCATCCCCGGAGTCCAGGGACCCGGAGAGGAAACGGGGCCCGTTCCTGTGCAGCCTCGGGACTCCCCATTTCCCCCCCCGCACTAGTTGTGTAGTGTCACATCGCAGCTTATAGGTGACAGACACCTAAGCCCTGGCCAGGACATCCCGGGTAAAAAGGGGGCTTCTCGACTATCCCGTCCTTCTGGCCGACCCGACCCGGCAAGCTCGGTGGAGGGGTATGGTGAGAGCGGCAGGCCCGCTGAGACCCTCCCCCCCCCGCCCCCACCCCCGCCCCTCGGCAGATTCTGGCGCAGCCCGCGTGTCCAGGCGCCCCCCCGCCCCCGCCCCCGCCCCCCAGCGCAGGGCTGGGGTTCGTTTCCAAAATCAGCCCCCAGGGAGGCGGCCGGGTGCCCGCGACATGAATCCCAGCCAGGCCTTTGTGGCCTCAAGGGGTCAATTTTAACACACACGCAGGTCCGTGCCTGCCTGTAGCTCACAGTGATGTCACCCAGCCTTCCAGACGGGGCAGCAGCCAGATCCAAGAGGCAGCTAGACCTCAGTCCACCGTGGTGGGCCAGGTGGGCTCCCGCAGGCAGTCGTAGAGGCCCTCTGATCCAGCGCCTGCACGATGGAGCTTAAGCCCTGAGCCACCCAGCTCCTCAATAGAACATTTAGAGGCACCTAGACGGGGAGGGACAGGGCCGGGGCCAGGCGTCCAGCCTCCACAGAGCCCTCCGTCAGGAGAGTCTTGCAGGCCCCCCACCTCAAACATCTGCTGCACCGCATTCTCTGGCTGCCCTGTCCCCCCTGCTCCTTCCGGGCAGTGGTGCAGCAGGAGTAGGGGAGAGGTTGGCTGGAGACTGCTGCAGGTGGCACAGGGCCCAAGAAAGGGGGCTGTCCTGGGGGGGGGGTCTGTTTTCACCCACCAACAGAGTTGGCAGCACACCCTGGGCCCAGCAAGGTCCACAGAGCTAAGCCCCACGCGTGCCAGGCTCCCCTTCCCCTCCGACCACCCCCTGGGTCTTGGACGATGCAGGCACAGGAAGGGGCTGGACACTTTGTTAGCATGCCTGGTTTTTCCTTCTTTATTGAATGACTCTCAAGATGTAATTACAGTTGAAGATGACGTGTTAGAAAGGAGAGGTGCATTAAAGGCATAAGGCCGCTCGTAGACCCCGCTCTAGAGACAGGTGGCAGGAGAGGAACATGGATTAAAAACGGCCTGAGCCCTGCAGCCCATGGGGACAGGTGGGTGGGAGGATGCAGCTCCGCCAGAAGGCCCGCGAGGTCCCCTGGAGAGGGCTGGCTGAGCAGGCAGAGCCCCCAGGCGGCCCCAGGAGCAGAGGGGGCCCCTGCCCTGCAGTCCCCAGGGTCCAGTCACATACCACCTACAGGTGACATCAACCCCAGAAGGTAATGGGGAACTTCAGGACCAAAACAAAACCTCAAAAGTAAAAAGACTAATAAGTGCAGCAGAGTAATAATACCAGAAAAGTTATATACACAGGTGGTGAGAGGCCCTCTGCAGAAGTGTCCGGGTCGCCCTGGGGATGCCGCAGGGGTCCCACCGGCCTGGCCTGCGGCCCGAGTGGCTGGAGCCTCAGTACACGGAGCTGTTCCGGATGCCACAGCAGAGCACCATGCTCAGGATCATCTCGAAGATCTGCGGGGAGGGGGCGGGCAAGCTGGTCAGCACCCACAGACCCCTGGGGGGCCCTGAGCAGACGCCCCACCTGCCCGCTCACCATGATCACTGCCACTACGATGGCGGCAATGCCGATGAGGTACAGCTTCCCCGAGAAGAGCTCATCGATCTTCTCGTGGCAATCTTCCTGTGGGGGATGGCCACAGGCAGTCAGGGGCACTGGTCCGCAGGACCCCCGGAGTGCAGCAGCCGGATCATTATAGAAAGAGCACGGAGGGGCACGGCCCCTGCCCCCTCAGAAGAGGTGTGAACAACACCCAGTCTCTCCGTTTTAAACCAAACGTGGAACCGAGGGACGGGCTGTGTGCTCCCTGTTCCACTCAGAGATCACTGGGCATCGACGGGCGTTGACCCAGCGGTCAGGGCACCCTCCATGCCTGCTCGGGTACGGGTAGAGCTAGCGGAGGAGGAGAGTTCCCCCACCGGCAACCCAGGGTATAGTCGCCCCACTGTGGGCCGTCAGTACAAACTCAGCCTTGGCCCAGCCCCACAGGCAGAACAGCCCTGACTCTAGCCACAGTGCCGCTGTGTAGCCGTGGCCCACCCACCACCCAGGACCCACGGAGAGGGGAGGGTGGCAGCGAAGTGGGGGAGCAGGCAGGCCCAGCCCCACCCAGCCCCTGGGAGGTCCCATCCACCACCCACACCTTGAATAAGTTGGGTATAACCTTGCCGCCCGAGGGACACAGGTCATTGCTGAACCCAGGGGTGGTCATCGCGAATGGCGTGCTGGAGCCACAGCAGTTGAGCTGCAGAGAGCAAGCATGCCCACAGTCAGTCCTGGGCGCGGGCGAGGAGATGACCCGAGGGGAGATGCGCGAGGATAGGCATCCCACAGGCTGCAGGGGCCCCAGCAGCTGCCCCGGCCTGACATGGTGCTGTGGGGGTGGGATAGTCCCCTCCAGGGGGAGCACCAAACCCAGGCGCCCCCTCCTTCCCTGCCTCTCACTCAGCTGTGCTGCTCAGAGACCCGTGAACCCCAGCTGGCCTGAACTGTCTCGTTCCCACCAGGGACCCACAGGGCTCGCAGACAGGGCCCCACGGCCCTCAAGGAGAGGGCTGCCAGGTCTCAAGTGTCCCTCCTGCTCCGGAGGTCTGGGCTGAGGCCTAGCTGGGCCTCAACTGAGGGGACAAACACCTTCATCCACCTGGCCTCCCCTGGTCCCCCTGGACCCCTTCCCCGCCTCCCCCCATCTCCCGCACCGTCTCGTGGAAGGTCTTCACCACAGCCTTGGCCTTGGCCTTGGCCTTGGCGTCGCTGTGCGTCACAGCCTGCTGCAAGGCCTGGTCGTAGAACTGCTTCACGTCCTTGGCGATCTGGGGGAGGGGTGGGGTCACATGCACAGCGGAGACCATCCCCAGAGGCAGCGTTCACCTGACTCTCCCAGAAGGTATCACTTCCAGGACAGCCCAGCTGCAACCCAGAAGCTGGGAGTCGGGCAGCCCTGCCTCCACGCCGCCTCCTCCAGAAAGCCCTCTGTGGTCTCCCTCCCAGGCCAGTCCCAGAGAGCACCCCGCAACCCGACCCGTCTCCCACAGCCTGAGCAGCAGGTGCTCCCCCCGCCCCGCCCCTCCGGGCTGGGACTGGCCCTCCCCTATGGACTCAGGCTCACCTGGTCCTTGTTGACAAAGCCCCAGATGCCGGCAGCCACTTCGCAGGCAAACAGGATCACCAGACAGGTGAAGAACTGGGTCAGGGTAGAGAGGGGGGTCAGAGCAGGCACGGCCAGGGCTTCCTGAGGCCCCGACTGGCGTGGCAGCTTGGGGCTCGCCTTCCACAGGTGACACATGCCCGACTGAGCAACAGGTGTGTGTGGGGTGGTTGGCGGTACCCACCCACCCACGTCCTGACCGGGGAAGAGCTGTATGGAGCCTAAGATTTGGCCCCAGCAGCAGGAGGCCAGTGTTCTCATTGTCCACGCAGGACCAGGGGCGGCTGGAGGAAGAGGACAAGGGTAGGGGCTGGGTGGGTTGGGAAATGCAGGGTGGCACAGCCCCCAAGGAGGCTTGGGCCGCTAGTACCCCTTTCCTTGCCCCATTTCTTCCTCTCCTCTCCCCATGGAAAGGGGGTCGTCGTGGTGTGCCTCAGTTTCCCCCACTGGAGACACTGGCACAGGCTCCCACAGCCCATGCCTCCTGGACCGGCTAGACCGCGGACACCACAGCCAGGCCTCAGCTTCCCACATGCCCTGGGACACCTGAGATTGGCCATGAGACTGGGACTCGCTCCTATTATATCTGTGGGTTTTTCTTTAAAGAAAGAAAGAAAAAAAGCAACTTTGGAACTTAGGAACTAGACATAAGGGCAATCAACCGTGATGCAATTTAAGACCCAAACAGGGAAACCAGGGAGCTGGCATTCTGGGGAAGGTCCTCAGGCTGCCTGTGACCCCTCCTCCAGGGCCAGACAGGCGAGGGGAGGCGCCCGAGCTCCACATCGCAGGCCAGTCTAGGCTGACCACGTGCTGCCTCCCAGGAGCTCCGGGTTCTGCCGTCAGCATCAGCCCTGCAGCCCCCCCACTGCTAGGCGAGCTGGACTTAGCACCCCCCCGGCCCAGGACCTCACCGTCCCCAGCAGGCACTGGGACTCCTGGATGGCCCCGTAGCAGCCCAGGAACCCGACGAACATCATCACAGCACCCACGGCGATGAGGATGTAGATGCCTGTGGGGGAGGATGGACAGACACCCTCAGTGCCCCACATCCCAGAGAGGAGGAATGGACATCCTGGTGCCCTGATGTCCTGGGGGCCGCATCCCCGAAAGCCCACCACCCTAGACCTCCTCCCTGGCCAAGACCCCTCCACTGCCACGACTCTGAAGGGTCTCACAGGTGCGGATACCCCACCTTGGGCCGCCCTGCCAGGAAGAGGTCAGATGCCCAATGCCTTGGGGAGGGCACCACGGCCTGGCTGGGCCACGTGAGCGCCTCTCCAGGCCTTGGTTCCTCTTCCACAACGTGGGAGGGAGGCGGGCAAAGTCGAGCAGCACTGAATGGTACATGGTTAGTGCCCAGAGAACCTAGTGATCGGGGTTTTACTCGGAACGTCTCTCCCGGGGTGACCCACCCCACCACCCGCACCCACTTTGGTTCCCACAAGCCTCTGGGACTCGGGGGCGGGGGCCGAGAAGGATCACCCCCGTCTTGGTGTGGAGGGCCCAGCTGTTGGCCTGGGGGTGGGACGGAGGAGGGCAGCCCCGGGATCTGGTGGCAGGGATCCCCTGCTGGCCACATGCTGCGCCCGCTTCAGCTGTCCGCACTCTTAGGCAGCGCTGGGTGGTTCCTCGGGCTGGACGGGTGGGCTCGAATCGGCTTCTGAGGCCCTGACCCTGGGAGCTGGAGCCTGCTGGACGAGGTGCCCTGGCGGCTGGGCCCCGTGGAAAGGATGGGGCGTGTGGCGGCAGGGTGGCAGGGGTGGCTCTAGGACAGCACACAGGGGACAGTTTGCCCTCCTGACCTGCCCAACACCCACTGGGCTGCACACGCGTTCCTGGGGAGGCAGGAAAGGCCACCAAAGGGTGGGGGGCACTGTGGGCCGAGAGGCCTCTGACCCGGCCATGCTGCCCTTCTTGGTGCCCATAGCCCACCCAGACAAGGCCCTGTGCCCCTTGGGAAACGCTGACCGCGTCTCTCCGGGGACCTCCCATGCCCCTCGTCCTAGCAGCAGACACTGTGGGCAGCCCTAGCCTCTCCAGAGCCAGGACGGTGGCTCCCAGGGAGAAGGAGCCTGGGGGCCGGGACCCGCCGACGGGCTCAGAAAAGGCCCAGGGCCTCCTCCTGGCCAGACAAAGCCTCCAGGCGGCACTGAGGGGACCTGGCTGAGAGGAAACCTCCAGCCACGGCCGCCCCCAGAGGGTTCCCCCAAGCCGGGTCTGTCTCTCTCTCCTCAGGCCCTGACACTCCCATCCACGAGCTGAAGTGGGACCCTCGGGCCTCTATTCCCCTGAGGTTCAGCAAGATGGTGCAGGGTGCAGGGGAGAGGCGTCTTGATGATCTGGGCTATGCAGCGTCCTGCAAGGGGCTGGGAGATCAGGGAACAGGTGCCTGACCCACAGCCCCTCCCAGGCCCAGCCCAGATCTCCCCCAGTGCCGGGCTGCTGTCTGTACACGTGGGCCTGGCTCTGGCAAATGAGGTCAGGGACTCACCCGGGCCCTGCAGCTTGCCCAGGGTACTGAGCGGGCCCGGCTAACCCGCCCTCACTTCCTGGCACCAGACAAAGAGCCCTTGTCAGGGCCCCATCTCCTCTCCCACCTCCCTGGCAGGCCTAGCCCGCATCAGGGCCAGCGAGAGGCTCCAGAAGGCCAGTCCTGGATGGGCAGGGACTCAGCAGCCAGAGGGGCTCCCCAAGGATTGCTGGGCCCTGGAAACCACTGCCAGAGCCACAGGCTCCCAATTCCGGGGAGAAGAGGGACCGCCCCTTTGATGCCCCCTGGAACGCAGCCCTCTCCACGTTATGGCCCAGAGGGACCACAGGCTGGGAAAGGCCCCCGTGTGGCCCCGGGGTGCCCGGGCAGGATGGCGAGGATGCAGGGCCATGTGTATCCCAAGTGTGTGGGGGTCCCGACTGGCAGCTGGGAGGGACCCAGACCCCTCCCGTGCTCCACACAGTACAAAGGACTTGCAGCAGGCTAGGGGGTGGCAGCTGCCCCGCTATGAGCCCTGAACCCTGGAGGCGCACACCTGCTTCCTGCCCTGCTGCTTGGCCTGTGGGGGTGAGAGGGGCCGCCCAGGGGCCATTCCTTTAAGGGACAGAAACATCTCAACACACAGGCCAGAGCTCCACAAGGGCCAGGCCCCGCCCACCTCCCCTTGGCTGGGGACCAAATGGAAGGAGGGGTGCTGCTCTGCACAGCATGGCAGCCCTCCTCCTCTGTGACCTCTGCCCCTGGGGGTGGGGGCGGCGGCGGCCCACTCCCCCCAGCCTGACAGACGCCCCTGGGGAGCCACAGCTAGTGCCTGGGAGGCAGACGCAGCCTAATAAGGCAGCAAGGTGTGGTTGTGGGGGTGGCCTGAGTCACGCTGGCCCCGGCCCCTGCCCCCCACTCCTGAGGGCCTGAGTCTCCATCCCCTGTGGCTGCAGCTGCCTCAGGCATCCAGCTCCACCCCCTCCCAGGGAGCCTTTCCTGAAATCCCTACCACATGACACAGCTCCCTGCCCCTGCCCAGCTGCTGCCCTTTGGGCCTGGCTCATCTAGTGGGGTCCCAACAAGCCACATGCCCCTCAAAGTTTCAGCTTTCCTGGGAACCTGGCTCCTGCCCCAGGCACCCCCAACCCAGCCAGGCATGGGACCACCTCCGGAGAGGGATCCAGGCCACAACGCCTCACCCAGGCCCTCAAGGCTCCCAGGCTGACCTCGCCCCACCCGTTCTCTGGCTCCTTCTCACCCTGTTGCCCAAAGAGCCCTTCCCGGCTGGTCTCCTTCTGGCCCCAGCATGCAGCAAGCCCCATTGAGCTGGCTCAGGCCCCGCCTCCTCCTGGAAGCCCTCCCTGACCGCCTCTCTGCAGCCTCACTCAGGTCAGGATCAGATACCTTGATCACACACCTCAATGGGCTGTCCCTGCTGGCCCCCAGCCTAGAGCCCACCCCACATGCACTCACCTACATAGAAGGTGTTGGGTGCAGGCCTGTCTCCAAGCTCCAGATAGAGGAGGTTGGTGGTCTGTGGGTCATGGCGGAGCCACAGGGCCACACCCAGGATCACACCTCCAGCAAGCTGGGGAAAGAACAGGGCGGTGTCACTTGTGGCCCAAAGCAGTGCAGCAGTGGGTGCAAATCGTCCACACGGAACACCCAGGGAGAGGTGGGTGCCGGACCCTCCCCTCCACTTATCCAGGGAGGGGTCCCCTCTTGGGCGGTGCTCACGGGCACCACTGGGCTCTGGCCCGCTCGCTGGCTCCACATGTCTGCCGAGGTGCCCCAGGAAGGCCTGGGCATCAGGGACCACGAAGCTGGTCCTGGACCCTCCGGCCAGCACCACTGTAGTGAGACCCCACAACAGGCTGCCAGACAAGATGCAGGACACCGGTTAAATTTGCATTTCAGGTGAACATGGAATACTTCTTTAGCATGAGTGTGTCCCAGATGCTGCATGAGACATAACCTACACTGAAAAAGCGTTCCTTGTCTATCTGACGCTCAAGTGTAACTGATGTCTTGCATTTTTATTTGCTAAATCTGGCCAGACGCCACACTAGACCCCGAGCACCCCACGGAACGCTGGGCCCTCCTCCAAGGGCGGGGTACTGCCCCAACAGTCCGTGGAGGGGACTGGGACTCCCCGTCTTTGCTGCCAGGACAAAGAGAGGAGTGGGGATTTGATGTCCCCGGGTCCCTGGTGGGGCTGGTGGAGGGAATTACTGAAAAGGGGAGGCAGCCGGGGCTGGTGGCATCCAGGAAGCCACAGGGGAGAGGGGCCAGGCGGTTTGTGGGATAAATACCTGCCATCAGCCCTGGGAAGGGAACCTGCTGGAGGAAGGAAGCTCGCTGTGCTCTCCAGATAGGCCAGGGCAGGGGAGGCTGCCCTGAGTAGTTGTAGGAAAGTACGGGGCCTGGGGGCCTGGCATGAGGGACAGGGCTCCTGGCTGAGGCTGAGGGAGACTCGTCCTCCTGCCAGCATGTGGCTCAGTGGCGGGTGGGGTCTGCCCTAGAGGATGAGCCCAGACCAGGCCTTGCCAGGCCTAGGCCTGAGCATCTGACTACCCCATGCAAGTGCCCAGGCCTCCCTCAGTGCCCCGGCCTCCTCCCCGCGCCACCCTCAGCGCCCCGGCATCCTCCCCAGGCCGCCCTCTGCGCCCCGGCCTCCTCCCCGGGCTCCCCCAGCCCTGAACACCCCACTGAAGTGGAATCTGCTCCCAGAGCCACAAGCGCAGCCAGCCAGCTCCTGCCCTCCTCCGCCTCTCTCCCGTCCACGTGCTGGCAGCTAAGGCCTTCCCACAGCAGCGCTGGGCACCTTGTGTCACTGACCCAGCACAGACTCACAGCTCCATGTCCAACGGGGAAGAGAAACTGAGAATTGGACCCCGAGAAAACCACCTGGCCAGCCCAGTGCCTAGCCCCACGGCCCTGGCCCAGGAGCGGGGCCCCGAGACGACGCTCGGGGGGGACATGCTCAGTCGAGGGTGTGAGACTTGAGGCCCTGGCCCCATGGGCTGCCCCAAGGAAAGCCCTGAGCAGTGCCGGGGACTCCCCAGGCAGGTGGCACTAGAGGGCCGGTGGGAGGCGGGAAGAGCCTTCTACCCTGGGCTTGGCTGACAGCAGGGCAGGCAGCAGCTGGGCTCCCACCCCCAAGGGGATGCCATTGGCGCCTCCCCCAGAGCAGGAGGCTGGCACCTCTCTGTCCGCCACCAGCCTGGGGATGGGGTTTCTCAGCTCCCCTTCTCCCCAAGTTTCAACGTCTGATGGAGGCTGGGGGGAGCCCACTCCCCAACCCCAGGCAGGACGGAGGCTCTGAAGGCTTCCCTGTCCTCGAGCAAGCACATGGTAGGACCCTCGGGGCCCACTCTGCACCTGCTGCCTGAGTTCCTTCCCATGGGGCTTGGCCCTGCCCTCCCAGCATCCTGTCGCTGCTCTTTGGTGCCTGTCACACCTGTGACACCCACCGGAGGGCCCGCGGGACATGAGCAGGGGGAGGTGGGGACAGTGGGGGCAGGGCAGGCACCCCAGAGTCCTTGGCTCCTCCCTAGCTGGCTGCCATCTGTGGCTCCAGGGGAGGCGAGGCTGAGGGTTGCCGTGGTCACTCTGGATTGAAAACGTCACTTATTCTGTTTTGAAACTGTAGTCCAGAGACTGCTTTGTGAGAAGTTCCAGGACTCAGCGGGAAGGGGCTGGGAGAGCCCCGTCCTGGGCCTCCAACTGTAGTCGTAGAGACCTGGCCATAAGCCCTGTCTCGGCCTCCGTATCCCCATCACTCGAGGGGAGCCGAGCATGGAGTGGCACCTGGCTCGAATGCTCCTCGGCCCCGTGCCCCCTCGGCTGGGCTGAGACCACCCACATCTTCCCTGTGTAGCCCCCTCACCCCAGGAGCTGGGAGGACAGGCCCATCTCAGGTGCACGGTCCTAAGAGAAATGGAGACAATGCTCTTCTACCCCTCAAACTCTAATGGTGGGATCGCAGACAAAGTCACCAGCTCTCGCTGTTTTGGGAAGGAAAGGGCTTCCATTCAGACTCCAGGGCAAGCAGCGGGGCCGGCGCCTCTGACTCCCCCCTGGCCCTCAGCCCACCCTCCCGAGGGGTCCACAGAGAAGCTGGTCCTGCCTACGGGGCAGGGGAGAGTCTGGCGCTGAAGTGCTCCCTCCTTGCCCTCCCTCGGTCATTCCTGGCCCTGCGCAGACCTGCCAGTGTGGGGCTGGACGAAGGCAATAACCATCCCATTTTCCAGATGAGCAAACTGAGGCGGAGGGGGGTTATTCACGTGAAGTCACCTACAAAGGAGGGGCAAAGGCAGCACTGGGGTCCCCCCCACCCGCCATGGGGAAGAGCAGAGGAGGGGTGCGTCTGAGGGGAAGGGAGGGCTCCCACCCCGGCCCCACAACCGACCAAAGGAGGGCAGGGCTGGGGTCCCTGAAATAGCACAAGGTGGAAAGAAGCCTACCCTTCAGAAGACAAGCCACTGACTGGGACTTGCAAACAGCTGATAACGGACTTATATCCAAAATTTATAAAGAACTTTTGAAAATCAACGAAAACAACCCAATTTTTAAAAAATGAGCAAAAAATTTGGACGCTTCATCAAAGAAAAGACACAGATGACAAATAAGTACAGGAAAAGATGCCCAACATCATCGGTCACAGGAAAACGCACCTGAAACCACGAGGAGATGCCCCTGCAGACCCACCAGGGCGGCTGAAATGAACAAGACCGCCGGACCCCGTGTGACGAGGCCGAGAGGAGCCGGGAGGCTCGCGCCCAGCTGGTGGGGATGCGGAACAGCACAGCCGCTCAGGAAAGTGTGGCAGCTCCTCAGAAAGTCAGATCCACACAGCTCTGTGCCGCAGCTCTCCCCTAGGTCCCTCCGCAGGGGACGCGAAGGCACACGTCCACACACAGACGCGTCCCCCACTGTGCCCAGCAGCTTTCCCCATGAGAGCCCCGCACTGGACACAACTAGATGGCCTCTAACTGGGGCAGGATGATGCCCACGAACCAGCTGTGGTCCAGCCGCACAGCGGAATCCTATACAGCGGTCAAAAGGAGTGAACCACTCACAACACCCGGGGTGGACCTCAGGAAGAGGATGAGTGCCAGACAAAAAAGAAGGGGGCCGGCCCAGTGGCATAGTGGTTAAGTTCGTGTGCTCTGCTTCAGTGGCCTGGGGTTCGCAGGTTTGGATCCCAGCCACGCACCGACGCATCACTTGTTAGGCCATGCTGTGGCGGCATCCCATATAAAGTAGAGGAAGATGGGCATGGATGTTAGCCCAGGGCCAGTCTTCCTCAGCAAAAAGAAGAGGATTGGCAACAGATGTTAGCTCAGGGCTAATCTTCCTCAAAAAAAAAAGGAGAAAAAAAAAGAAAAAAGAACCACCACTTTCTGATTCCGTTTACATAAAAGTGTGAGAAATGCAAATTATGTACGGTGACAGAAAACAGACAGTGGTTGCCCTGGGATGGGGGAGGGGCAGGGGGAGGGTCCCAAGGCCCCAAGGACACTTTTTGGGGGTGTGATAGATGTGTCCACCATTTTAAAGAGGCGCAGTTTACTGTCAAATAAAGCTGTTTAAAAAACCCCCTACCCCCAGGTCCCTGACGACTGAACTTCTAAGCAGCAGGGCCCCTGGGGTAAATGTTTCTTCTGTGTCCCATAGGATCCAGGCTGCCGTCTTGGTGACAACCGTGCACTGAGGCAAGGAGCTGGACACTTGGGGCTCTCCAGGCTTCCAGCAGCCAGCAGCAAGCAGCTGGGAACATCAAAGTCCCATCCACAGAGCCAAGGTTTTAGGGTCAATCCAAGAAAGGACTGGGTAGCCAGGGGACACGTATGTATGTCCATTATAAAACAGGCCAGCATGAACGGGAAGCGTGCCGTTCTAGCACTGGGTGGAGGCTGGAGCACGGTAGTCCAGGGTGGCCCCGGGCCCCTGACTGCTGGGCCACCTCAGGGCCACCTCGGGGTTCTGTGCCTCCAATACATCCTCCGTTGTAAAAGCAGGAAATAAAGGTACGTCAGCTAATATATGTAGAGTGCTTAGCATGACGCCGCTGAAGACAGAGAGAGGGCGAGGGCGAGGGCGATGAGTATTTGCAGCAGGAGTTCCAGGGCAGGTTTATCAGCGGCAGAATCTGACCTGTCTTCATTAGTCCCTCTCCTGACAGAACCCTCCACAGGGCCACAGACACCTCTCTCCTGCACGCTCGCCTGCTGGAAGCGCCACCGCCACCTGCTCCTGCATCCCAAGATGCTCCTGCTCGGGGTCGGGGTGGGGGGCAGCTCCCGGGAAGAGCCGGCCAACTTCCTGGGGTTCCTGGAGCTACCACACCAGGGCACAGCACAGGGTGCTGGTAACCCTAGGAAAGTTCTGTTTCTGTTTCTTTCTTCCTCCTTTCAGGGAATTAACAAACAACAGTGTCACCTAAAAGAAGAAGGGAGCTGCCAAGGGCGCTGGGTTCCTGCCCAGCCTGTCTGCCGTTTCCAAGCTGCTGCTGAAAGGGAGCAAGAGGCACGGGCACTGCCCGGGCAGGCCTGGGGCAGCAGCCTCCCATGCCAGCGCCGGCTG